ATTTTTAAACAAAATTCAAAGTCACGAAATCAAATAATAATCATACTCGTAACTAAATCTACATAAAACGTTTTTATAATGGAGTCATACAAGAGATGTCGTTACAAATAGAGCTAAATTACCTACATAACACATATAAATGGTATATGTATATAATCATAATTAGTAGTGATACATGCTTACTGTCGATTGTGAATGTATGACTAATAGTTCATGTATATGTGTATTATTATATCGGTGATATATATATAGGTGCATAGATAGATATCTTAAAACAAATTATTAAATACTTAAAGATCAAACAAAATACCCGCGTATTTGTAGTAAGATGGTCCATGAGTTAGCATCCTGAGCATTTAGATAAGGGAATATGTTGTTTTTTTGACTCGGTTTATCTTGAGGTTATTGTCTCTGTTATAACTCATGATATTGATCCTTATTAATATATTTCGTAGGTACTCTTTTCCCCTTGTAGGTTCTAGAAGGAATTTTTAATGAGATAAATTTCTTTAAAAAAATATTTATAATCGTCTTATTAATCGGGTATTTTGATGCCAATTAAATGGCTCAACTTTTGAAAAAAAGGAAAAAACCTACGTAAATAGAAACGCTAAATCAGTTTTGCCTTTCATGAATGGTTAAATAATTTCTTAGGTCATTGGATTATGGCATACAAAGTAAAACCCTCCATTTATCACATTTTGGGCCAATTTGCGTTCAATCAATTGGGTCATATGTATCCATTAAGTGGGTCAGCGAGAGTTCGGGACTAGACCAAGAATGTTACCCAAAATTCGATTCCTTACAAATTTATTGCTAGAATTTACGTCACAAGTAATTGTTACATCTTATTAATGTCTCATTAACGTTGAAATTTTAACACGTAGAAAAAAATTAATATTTTAACAAAATAAGTTTATATAGGTATTTTTGTGACTTGTCTTGTTGAAACTTTAAATTAAATACATAAAATTATTATTCTAAGATTATCGATTTTAATAAAATATACAAATTCATATAAATACATATTTATGTAAACTTTTTAAAGAAAATTAAAGGGTTAAATAACAATTATAAAATTATCTTGAGGATGCCAAATTATTTTTTCATAAAAAATTCAAAGGATATAATGATATTTCCTAATTTTGAGAGGAGCCATAACTCCAGTCCCTAACATAGTTCCGCCGTTGCATAGAGGAGAGATGAGAAAGGAGAAAAGTTCAGGCAGGCAGGCAGGCATGGTTGATGATAGAAAGCAAAGTAGAAAGAATTAGTGAATGAGGCATCAATGGATGACCATGTTTTCTGCTTCATGCCTTATGGATTCAAACAATGCAGTCGACAAGTACCGCTCACCGGCACTTGGTAAAATTACCTGAACAAAAATGAAGATAAACCCTACCTCAGCATTGCACATTCATGTATAGATGAATGATAAGTTTCAGATAGTGTATATATATATTGATATCAAACACTAATAGTTCAGGAAAAATGAAGAGTCGGAGTAATACCGAGAATTATTATAGCCTATAGGCCAGATATATGTCTACTTAAAGAAGGGAATGGTGACTCACAACTATGAGTTTGCCTGCACTTTCTGGCCTCTTTGCCACCTTAATTGCAGCCGCTGTAGCAGCACCAGATGATATGCCAACCTTTCGAGATCGATTCATTTGAGCGAAAAATTAAGGGAAAAATAAGAACAAGTGATCGAGATAGTCGTAAGAGTCGATTAAGGAATTCGAACATACCAGCAAACCTTCTTTCAGGGCTAGCAGTTTAGCAGTTTCAATGGCCTCTTCACTAGACACCTAAGAAGTTATAAACAGCAGCAAGAATAAATATATGGAATAGGGAACTACCATGCATCATACAGGACAAACAATGGATGATACTATGGATCATAAATCAAACCAATTGCAAAGATCCCTAGAGCTGTTTCTTTCCTTGTAAGAAATGGAAGGTAACACCGGTTTACAACCTGTTTTTGGAATTCAATATCGAGTGATAGTGATGCTTTTGAGACTTACCAGGATAACATCATCAAGAAGGCTAACATCCAAGACATCACAGATTCCACCACCGCCAATTCCTTCGATCAGATGAGGGCCTTCGACAAAAATCACACAGGCCATGGCATGGAGGAAATAGTCAAGTACAAGCCATTGCACAAATCATGGGAAGAAGTAACTTACTGGATCTCGAACTTTATAGTTTGAAACAACATTAAGTTCAATAAAATCAAAAGAAGTTGATAATGAAATTAAAAAGAAAAATGAAGAATGAAGGTGAAAGAAATTAACTTGAAACGCTTACCAGGTTTCCCACCATTCAAGATGGCACTTTCGACCGGTTCTACGCCGTATACCTATGAGTTGACAAAAGATTTTTTTTTTCTTATTAACATATCAACAAGAATATTCTCTCTTTGTTTGAATTTCAGTCTCAAATGTGGATCGAACCTTGATCTCTGAGTTTTTCTCTTTGAGGAACTTCCCCACACCTGTTATTGTACCACCAGTCCCTATGCCTGCAACCAGTGCATCAACTTTCCCATCCGAGGCTTTCCATATCTCCGGACCGGTGGTTTCGTAATGAACCTAAACAAAGAATTCATTAGTTCTTTTTGACGTCACATAATGGAACATTAGAAATGTTATAACAGTAAAGATGCTTACCTGTGGATTGGCAGGGTTATCAGATTGCAGAAACAAGTGACCGTTAGGTGTGTCCCTCAGTATCTCGTTAGCCTTGCTTGTTACCCCCTGAATGCCCTCTGTTGGGTTTGTGAGGTATACCTCCGCTCCAAACGCTCGAAGAACAATTCTCTTTTCAATGCTCACAGAAGCTGGCATTGCGGCAATAACTTTGTAACCCCTGGCCGCCCCAATGAAAGCCAATCCGATGCCAGCATTACCAGTGGTAGGCGTGATGAGGACACTCTTTAGCCATCAATAGAATTGTTTCGATATATGCAGAACAAATGGGAAGTTACATTAGCTTAAATGCTCCATATCTGGACCATTCCATGAGGAAAATAGCCCTCACTTGATCAAATGTGATTGAAGCAAAACTGCAGAAGGTACCATTATAAAGTCTTACAGAAACGGTCTAAAGTCAAACAATCACTTAATATGCATTAATCCGAAAGCTAAATCGAGCAACGCTTCTTAGAATTCAGTACTATACCGAGAAAAACAGCAAAACCTTGCCATATTTGATCATAGGCATATCTAATAAAGTCATAGAAGACAATCTAAAGTTTAAGGGTTCTTGGATCTATATTTCTTCCTGGTTAAGATTATCAAACAATCACTTCAATGCATTAATCCGAAAGCTAAACCGAGCAAAGCATCTTCGAATACGGTACTATACCTTCCCTGGTGTAATCAAGGCCTTATCTTCTGCATCTTTAATCATACCATAAGCAACCCTGTGGATCAATAAACAACAACAAAAGGTGTTAATTTGCAGGCAACACTTTGCCAAAATGCTGTGAAGAGTATGCAAACCAAATGCAAATAAAAAAGCTTATGCCTGTCTTTAACACTGCAGCAAGGTGCCATGAGCTCGAGCTCCGTAACCATCGATGATATTGTTCAGATATACCATAGGCGTATTACCTATTAACTGCATAAGTCACAAGGAGATTTAAAGAAAGTTGCGGAAGAGTAATGGCAACACAGACTTAAATGACTGATAGAAAAAAACACATTACTTCAGTAACATCTTTCTTGATTGCACATTTGTCATACATGACGAATTCTCGAATTTAATCGAAAAGAAGTGCTTAACTAAGGAAAGCAAGTGTTTTTAGTGCAAAACCCAGGCTTCTGAACCGTTTATGAAGGGCATATACCAGCTCTGTATTTATAATTCATAGATCAAGTAAATTACACTAGCTCCCATCAGAATTTGCCTTAAAATAAGCAACTTTTGCCTCAAAGATAAGCTGAGCAAGTGTATGTATTATATTGTGTTAGTTGTTTTTCATGCACATGATCATAAACAGGTAGGTAGAGAGAAAAACGACAAGAACACATTTGTTATATATAAAAAAAATATATACCTTGCATACTACTAGTTATAAAGAAGTGGACGACTCCCTTGAATGACGCGAAAGATAGAGTTAATTCTAAGTAATTGATTGTTGGTTAAACAAATATTTAAACAATACAATAGTAATAAAAACCCCGTGAATTTTAATATTTTCATTTATATAAATTGGAACATGATCCGCTGTTGGTGAAGTGATTGTTGGGCGAAAAGATTCGTGTTAAGTGGTCGACTTTAACGGCTCTTTTCTGGTTGGGTTAAAAATACATATTATACCGAAAGAGAGCATAGCACAAGGTATTCAACTATAATATATTCACGTAAACAAAGTTTTTTGTTTAATAATACTGTTGAGATTCTAATAATCTTGAGATCTCAACTTCGAGACTCGTGGATTTCTTCTAGTTCAACGACCATATTTGGATTTACTTCAAATCTTAAATTCTAATTTAATATTTACTCAGACCTGCAATCTTAAGCATCATACATTTATAGGTTTTACGGTTCCTTGGACTTGGAACCACTGAAAATATTTTAAATTTGAAGAATTAATTAACACGATCTTTTGAACCATAAAAATTATTAGTAATTGTTATAATATTGACGTGACAGTTTATAATGTCATTATAACGATTCACATTATCAATATAATATACTTCATATGTGAATGATGACACAGTAGATAGGCATAATTGATTCTTTTAAAATATTCGGTGACTTAATTATTCTTTTAGTATCTTTAATAAAAAAAAAAAATTATTTAAAACTTGAAATAGTAAAAAAATTCAACAATTATATTAATAGAGCAAACACATTTGGCTGATTGGTCAAGCTGCTCATCTTTGTTTCCTCGTATACCCTTAGATCATGAGTTCTAGACCCACTAGGAACATTTCCCTTCCTTCCTCCTCCTGACTAGGATTAGGATTATATTAAGGTCATGGGTAATAATGTCATCAATGGATGGGCATGTTTTCTGCTTCATGCCTTAGGGATTCAAACAATTCAGACGACAAGTAACGTTCACCGGCACTGGGTAAAATTACCTGAACGAAAGATCAACAATCAGTGATGCAGAACCGTTTAAACAAATCAATAACATGAGCATTTTGAGTTTTCAAACCTATCCCAGCATTGCACATCCATGTATAGATGAATAAACTATTGATGTTTAACATTTGTTACTTGGGAGTTCAGTACAAGTTTCAGATACAGGATACATGACTTAAAGAAGGGAATGTGACTCACAACTATGACTTTGCCTGCATTTTCCGGCCTCTTTGCCACCTTAATTGCAGCCGCCGTAGCAGCACCGGATGATATACCAACCTGTCAAGATTTATTCATTTGAGCAAACAAGGAAAAAAAACAAAGAACAAGTAATCGAGTCAGTCATAAGAATTGATTAACAAATACAAGCATACCAGCAAACCTTCTTTCAGGGCCATCTGTTTAGCAGTTTCAATAGCTTCTTCACTAGATACCTAACAAGTTCGAACAGAAGAAAGTATAAAATATATAGAATAGGGAACCACTATGCATCATCTAGGATAAAAAATGGATCAGAATATTATTACTTGAATGAAATCGGTTCTTATAAGGGAAATAAATACTATGGTCGTCACAGAAATTGAAGCTATTGCGAAGTTTCCTAGAATCGGTTCTTATAATGGATCAGATGATTGATGCCCGCTACTATTTGTTCTAAGTCATAACTTTTATTGAAGATAAATGTTCAGAGAGAAATGTCCATTACAAACAGCTCAGATACTGCAAAATCACCCCAAACATAAACAACAAACCCCAAAGCCTATTCGTTAATAAAACATAAAATTAAACCAAAACAGAGATTCGTTGATTTTTCAGACATCAAACCAATTGCAAAGTTCTCTAGATCCGTTTCTAGGCTTGTAAGAAATGGAAGGTAATAAGTTTAGAACCATTTTCCGGAATTAGACATCGAGTGACAGTGATGCCTTTGAGACTTACCTGGATAACTTCATCAAGAAGGCCAACATCCAAAACATCAAAGATTACACCAGCGCCAATTCCTTGTATCAGATGAGGGCCTTTGACAAAAATCACACAGGCCATGGCATGAAGGGAATAAATAAAGGAAAGAAGTAACTTACTGGATGTTGAACTTTATAGTTTAGAAACAACATAAGTCGAATAATATCAAAAGAAGTTGACAATGGCAGTAAAAGGAAAAATGAAGAATGAAGGTGAAAGAAATTAACTTGAAAAGCTTACCAGGTTTTCCACCATTCAAGATGGCACTTTCGACCGGTTCTACGCCATATACCTATGTGTAGACAAAAGAAGAAAATGTGCTTATTAACATATCAACAAGAATATTGGCTCTTTTTCTGAATTTCAGTCTCAAATGGGGAACAAACCTTGATATCTGATTTTTTCTCTTTGAGGAACTTTCCTGCACCTGTTATTGTACCACCAGTCCCTATGCCTGCAACCAGTACATCAACTTTCCCTTCCGACACTTTCCATATCTCCGGGCCGGTGGTTTCATAATGAATCTTAAACAAAGAATTCATTAAACCTTTGAAATATCACATAATGAAACACTAGAAATGTTATAACAGTAAAGATGCTACCTGTGGATTGGCAGGGTTATCGGATTGCAGTAACATGTGACCATTGGGTGTGTTCCTCAGTATCTCGTTAGCCTTGTCAAGTATCCCCAGAAAGCCCTTGGCTGGGTTTGTGAGGTATACCTCGGCTCCAAAAGCTCGAAGAATGATTCTCCTTTCGATGCTCACAGAAGCTGGCATTGTGACAATAACTTTATAACCCCTGGCCGCCCCAATGGAAGCCAATCCAATACCAGTGTTACCACTGGTAGGCTCGATGAGGACACTCTTTAGCCAACATTATTTTGATATATGCAGAACAAATGTGAGGTTTATTAGCTTAAATGTTCCATATCTGGACCATTCCATGTGGAAACTAGTCCCCATTTCAACAAACGTCAATTGAAGCAAGTTTTCAAGCAAAACTGCATAAGGTAGCATAATAAAGTCTCACGAAACGGTCTAAAATTAAATTGTTCCGGGATCATTATTTGTTCCCGGTTAGGATATTAAACAATGACTTCATATGCATTAACCCGAAAACTAAACCGAGGAAAGCATCTTAGAATACGGTACTATACCGAGTAAAGCAGCATAATAGACCCAGCCATATTTGATCATAGGCATATATGATAAAGTTAGAAGAAAATCTACAGTTTAAGGGTTCTTGGATTTATATTTGTTCCCGGTTAGGTTATCAAACAATCACTTCATATGCATTAATCCCAAAGCTAAACCCAGCAAAGCATCTTCCAATACGGTACCATACCTTCCCTGGAGTAATCAAGCCCTTGTCTTGTGCATCTTTAATCATACTACAAGCAATCCTGTGGATCAATAAACAGCGACAAAAGGTATTAATTTGCAGGCAACACTTCGCCAAGATTCTGAGAGGAATATGCAAATCAAATGTAAATAAAAAGGCATATGCCTGTCTTTAACACTGCAGCAAGGTCCCATGAGCTCGAGCTTGGCAGCAATTCGAGCTCTACAACCATCGATGATATTGTTCAGATATACCATTGGGGTATTACCTATTAACTGCATAAGCCACAAGGACATTAAATCAAGTTGCAGAAGACTATGGGCAACATGGAGACTTAAATAATTGAGAGGAAAAAAAATCACTTCAGTAACGTCTTTCTTGATTGCACTTTTTCCCTCCATGGCTACTTCTCAGAAATTCCACAGTTGAAAAGAACTGCAATTTAACAATGGAAAACAACCGGCAAATATATAACTATATATATCAACTAGCTTAATATAAGAATAAGTAACTAAACAATACTCAAAATTAACCTTATGATAACTTATTAACTTTTCGTTAAAAATTAGTATATACAACTTTTTCATTATATTTTTAGATACCTATAGTTAAAAATACGTTAAGTCACAAATGTCACGTCTAAATTTTTTAAAAGTAATTTAAAATAATTTTTGCTAAAAATAGATACTTAAATTTTTCGTTATATTTTTAGGTGTCTATCGTTATAAAAAATCGTTAAGTAACGCGTGTCTCGTCTAGGTTTTTTTTAAATATTTTTAAAAAATATTTTATTTAAAAAAACTTAAACATGACACGCATCATTTAATGAATTTTTTAATAATAGACACTTAAAAATATAAAAGAAAAAACTTTAAACACTTATTTTTAACGAATTTTTTTTTAAGTATTAAAACGTTATTCTTTATGCACTTATATTTTTTATTAAGCCTAAAAGAAAGATAATGTATGATAAAAGAAACAAAGCGAAACAGCCGCTGAATATTTGGATATTTCAACAAGAAGGCCAATTCTGCATACAAAATTCATAAATCAGTAAATCACACAATTTACCTTAAAATAAGCATTTTTTGCTTGTACTTTCCTAATACTATATTCAACGCCTCAAATATTTTTTTAAGTAATCCGGCTAATTGCACGTCACTATTTATTTAAAGATAATTTTTTATTATTTGACATTGAAAACTTATACTCTTGGCATTCTAGATGTTCGAATCTAAGACTTTAAAGAAATAATAATATTTCTTTTACCATTGAAATCGCTTGGTTCGTATAATGCTTCAAGGATAACCTTAGCAGATGTAGATAAATAAATAAATTAAATTATTTTATTTTGTTCTTTTAGTTGTTTTCATGCACTGGATATTACAGAGAATATATATTCTATTATTTTTGTATTTCAACCAATTGAATTTCGATTTAATTAGCTTTTTATTAAATAAATACACTTAAAAAATGTAATTAAATTTTGTAATTATTTGTTGGTTTAGACATAAAAAATTATGTTGGTTGAAAAAATAAAGAAGTGGGTCAATCAAATATATAAAAAATAACATATAATTTAAATTAATGCTGCTGTTAGTAAAAAAATTTGGAAACCGATCAAGATAGGTAGGAATGGTCCCCAAATACCACACCTCATTTTTACGGATGATTTATTTTTATTTGGGTGGGCAATGTGAGCTGCCTCCAGTGCAAAAGTGAGCTTTGAGAAGTCCAAATTTTACTTATCTCCGTCCTCTAACGCTGGAGTTAAGCGTAGGCTTGGTCATATCTTGCAGATGGGGACATACCTCGGATTTGAAAAAGTACCTCGGTGTACCTCTGAATCATGGTCGTATTTCGAAAGCGACCTATGGAGACATTGTGGATAAAGTGAAACTGCGTTTAAGCAGCTGAAAGCGAATACGCTCTCGGCGGGGAGGGCTATCCTTGTTGGTTCTGTTACTTCCGCTACCCAACATATACGATGATGACCTCAAAGTTGCCTGCTAGTATCGTTAATGAGGTTGATAGGGTGAATCAGGCGTTCTTGTGGGGAGGTTCGAATGAGAGGCGTGCTCCCTATCTAGTTGCATGGGAAAATGTTTATAAACCTAAAAGACTTGGCGGATTAGGTTTACGTACCATGGAGATGCACAATGCTATCCTACAACAAAAAACGACTTGGAAATGGTCTCACTCCTTTGCTTTGCTGTGGTCCTGTTCAACGGCTTCCTGGTCTCACTCCTGGAAGAACATAATTCATGGCCTTCGTGGTTTAGCGTCAGGTTTAAGGAAGCGTATGGAAATGGTCTTGAAACCCTTTTTTGGACTGAGAATTGGCTTGGCCAGCCGCTCTGTGACCATCCTATTATTCTGGATCATCCCGTGGATAATGTCACCAAGGTTAGTGATTTTATCACTTCGAACAATTCCTGGGATATTGAGAAGCTTTTTGCTATTCTCCCGATGGACCTTGCGACGAAAGTTATGGGCTAACCTCTTCCCATCTTCAAAAACATGCATGACGGGTATGTGTGGAACCATACTGCTAATGGTAAATTCTCTACCCGATCGGCATACCTGGTTCTCACTATGGACAGTATCGACTTCCAGGGACCCGACTTTTCTTGGATTTGGAAACTTCCGGTTATTCTCAGATGGAAGTTTTTCGTGTGGCTAGCTTGGCGAGATAAATTGCTCACCAATGTCCGGTTGGCCTCTTGGGGTGTTTTGAACCCTGCAGGTTGTGGTGCTTGTGGCCATCACTCAGAGAGCTTGGTTCATATTCTCAGAGATTGCGTTATCGCCCGGAACGAGTGGAACCGTTGCGAATTGGGAGCAAGGTGGAGCTGTTCATGGTCCCAAGAGCAGAATACCTGGCTCAAAGATACCCCCGATGCTTCCAATAATCCTCGTGAGGATCTCAAAGATACCCGATGCTTTGGAAAGAAAGATACCGATATGTTTTTGAGCCTGAGGAGTACAGCTATGATGAGTCTGGTCTTTGGCGTCATGTTTTACAGCTAACTAAATAGCAGATTCACTCACTTCGGACGGTCCCTGGTGCGTCGTCGTCTTCCAGGCTTGTGCAATGGCTGTCTCCCTCGGCTGGGTGGGTCAAATTGAATACGGATGGCGCTAGTCAAGGAAACTCGGGTGTTGCGGGTGCAGTTGGTTTGATCCGAAGCGAAACTGGTGATTGGATATATTGGGTTTTGCAGCTCACCTGGGTGCTTGCTTGAGCGTGGCTGTGGAGCTGTTTGCCCTACATCTTGGATTGTTGATTGCATGGAAATATGACTATAACGATGTAGAGTGCGAAGTGGATGCCCAAGTTGTGCTCCGTCTTATCGATGAAGATGATATTGTTGCGGAAGACGGCTATCGGATAGAGCAAAATCGCAACTGATAATTTGAGAAAATAAAAATGAAGATAAAGAAGACACAAAATTTACGTGGAAAACCCCTAAATAATATAGGGTAAAAACCATGGGCAACGGTAGAAGAATTTCACTATGAGAAAATAGGAATTACAACTTCTCTCGATCAACCAAGGAGAAAACAATGATAATTTTCTCTTGATAAAAAGGAGAAAACAACTCTAAAAAAACTCTCTAATATTCTCTCTAGTATTGGAAGAAAGCTAGAATGCTTTGGGATGATCTTGAAGCTAAATGAGCTAGGGTATTTATAGTTGAAACTTAAGGACTAATCTTGTAAATACCCTAAAGTCCAATGGCTATTTTTTTTGATTTTACCACTTCAAAATTCAACATTTTCAACCTGCCTAACATAATCAATTTAGCAGCCCCATATGAATTTGTATAGCCGCCCATGATATTTTGACTTTCAATAATCTCCCACTTGAAGATTTGATTGGAACAATCATATCTTCACACTATTCTTTCTACCTTGTACCTTCATGTTCTTACGTCTTTGACAGGCCACAAGAGGATCGACACCAGGTAAATTTATCAGCGTTGATTGCCTTCGTCATGAAATTTGCTATGTTGTCTTTGGTATGAATCTTCTGCATATCTACTGTACCTTCTTCAACCTTTTCACGAATGAAATGGTACTGAACTCGTATGTGCTTTGTCCTTGAATGAAATGCTGGATTCCTTGCTAGATGCAAGGCGCTTTGACTGACACAAAATAGAGAGACATACTCTTGATTGTGCCCAAGCTCCTCCAATAGCATCTTCAACCAAATTGGTTCTTTACTGGCTTGTGTAGCTGCTACATATTATGCCTCTGTTGTGGACGTAGCCACAACTGACTGCAATTTTGAAACCCAGCTTACAGCTCCACCAGCAACTTTGAACACATATCTTGTAGTAGATTTGCTTTTATCCAAATCCCCTGCATAGTCAGAATCTACATAACCATTTATTAGTAAGTTTGATCCTCCGTAACATAATGCAACATTTGAGGTTCTTTGATGTATCTCAGGATCCTCTTTATTGTATTCCAATACTCTTTGCCTGGATTCGCCATGTACCGACTAACGACTCTCACTGCTTGTGCAATGTCTGGTCTTGTGCATATCATAGCGAACATTAAACTTCCCACTACTGATGCATATGGTACTCGAGACATATCCATCCTCTCTTCTTCACTGCTAGGACTCATACTGGAGGATAATTTGAAGTTAATAGGTAGAGGGGTAGAAATTGGCTTACAATCTTGCATGCTAAATCGTGACAAGATTTTCTTCAAGTAATTCTTTTGTGAAAGCCAAATCTTCCTATTACTTCTGTCTCGGTGAATTTGCATCCCTAGAATCTTGTTTGCTGATCTCAAGTCCTTCATTTCAAATTCCCTAGCCAGTTAGGCCTTCAATTCTTCAATATGATCTTTGTTGGGTCTTGCAACCAACATGTCATCCACATACAACAATAATATAACAAAATTGTTATCACCAGACCTCTTGAAATAAGCACAAGGGTCTGCATTAAGTCTGCTGTATCAAAGGCACATAATGAAGGAATCAAATCTCTTATACCAACACCTCGACGCCTGCTTTAGACCGTACAGAGATTTGTTCAACCTGCAAACCAAGTTCTTCTTTTCTTTTTCTTCAAAACCTTCAGGCTAGAGCATGTGAATCTCTTCTTCAAGATTTCCATGAAGAAAAGTTGTTTTAACATCTAGTTGCTCTAGATGTAAGTTCAATGTAGCACACATTGCCAAGACCACTCGAACTGTTGTTAGTCGAACCACAGGAGAAAAGATTTCATTAAAATCAATACCTTCTTTTTGAGCATATCCTTTGACCACCAGTCTTGAACGATACCTCTCCACTTGATCGTCACCATTTCGCTTGATTTTGAAGACCCATTTGTTACCAGTTGGCTTCCTTCCTTGTGGTAGTGGCACAAGGTCCCATGTATTATTTTTATAGGGCTTCAATTTCTTCTTGCATCGCCATCATCCACAGTGAAGCAT